TTTTACAGTTCTATTCTTATCTTAATAAAAACTTATAAAAAATTTCAAAAACATTTTGAAGTTCAAAGTTTATATTTTAATGCTTTTGATTATTTTTTAATTTAATTCTGCAGAACTAGAGAGATAAGAAATTTTTGCGATGTTTTTTTGCCGAATTTAAACGTTGATTGTAAAAAATGCAGGTTTAACTTCAATCGCGTAATTTGATTAAGAACAATGTAAGAAAATTTTTAAAGAAAGCATTTTATAAATAAAACTTTGCACTTTTTTGTAAAAGTATTAAAGTTTTTGTTGAGTAGTATATATACGTAGCAACGTTCATATTAATGTATAAACTTAATTAATAATAACTAAATTTGAGTCAAATTTAATTTATTATTTATTAAGTTCATACGTTAATATGAACGTTGTTTATTTTAAATCTAATTATAAAAATGAATTGGTTTACATTTTAACATTACATGGAAGTTAAAAATAATAACATATTATATTTAACTCAGATTACTATTGTTTGGTTACTATTGTTCCTTTAAAATTTAACAGTGTAGATATATATATATAAAATATTCTTTATAATTATTACCTTTCTAACTTTTCATTATTTGTCGATATTGCAAAAAACTCCTTAAGTAATTATAATTAGTGCCATTACTATTCCACAGCGATCGTTTGATGTAACGGCTGTCCGCATGAAAATTGTTTAAGCATCGTAAAACATTCGTAAACATTGTTGAGCGTAAGAATTTTGTAACAAATCATATTAGATTGATAGCCGTACGCACCTGCGATGACACTATCTCTAGCTATCAGAATGTCGTAAAGAGTCGCGCAACAGTCAGTCGTATCTGCAAGGAGTACGCGCGCAGTCACGTGGCTGTTTCTCATCGTTATGTCAAAATGAAAGAAAACTGTTTTAGCGAATTTAAGTTTTAAAAAACGGAAACAAGAAAAAAATCGAAATTGAACGGGTAAAAATAGAATTAAATAATATTAACATTTAGAAATCTAAAGTCAAAGTACTTAAGATAAGCTGAAACAAATCGAAAAATTTAGACTTTTGAAGAGAATGTGTTAACGTTAAAGATTCTTTACAATTTTTAATAAAAAATCTTAACATTTGCGCTATTTCATGTGTTGTGGTATTTGTTTATTTTATTAGAAAAATTTTTGAATGATATCTTCTTTATGTTTAACGATATTAACAGTAGAATAATAATTTACACATATATTTTTATTATTTAATAATATTTACATAAATTTAAATATATTTATCAACGGAAAGAGATAAAGAAGAAAGTAAATTGATTAATTTAATTATTTACATATTGCAATAAAAATCGTGACAAATTTCAGTAAATGAGCCACAATAAATTTGTGATAAAAAATTAGTGAATACAAATCAATCGTTTTGACTGTTTTCATAGTTTTAATATTAATAAACGTAATAAATACTTATATTATATAAATAATTAAAATTTCATAGAATATTACTTGATTTCTATTAGTATATATAATGAAAATCATTCGTCAGTAAATAATTTAAATCGTTGGTTGTACAAATTTCTCGAATTAATATTCGTCGCGAAATGACGTCTAATACATATATTCGACAATTTATGTTAATCGTGTGAACTACTACAGAGAGAAATACTCCTCGCGCCACTCAAAGCTTGTTCGCACTGGTAACCATGTTATGGATGATACAATTCGCGGATGTGTGTGTTAAATTGAATATTTCATTGAAAACATCCCAGAGAACATTCGTAGAATATAATTACTCGCAAAATGTAGATCAAATATTTTTAAAATTTCATGAAAATCTTTGTAAGAGAGACATCTCTCTCTTTCTCTCTCTCTCTCTCTCTCTCTCTCTCTCTCTCTC